TCCTTTTAGAAACATGACTGGGCAAACTGAGACAGGATATAATTGTTAGACTTTGCTTAAGTGTCTGAAATAAATACTCGACTTATAAAAAACTTGTTTAGATACAGATGAGGGAAAGACCTATTTAAAAGAAGCATATAATTAGATATTATTTGCATGACAACAGTCCAGAACAAAAGGTGCATAACAAAATGAACTCTAGGGGGCAGAGGAGGAGGAAGGAAAATGTACAACAACAAATGAATGAAAATCCAAGTTCTCAGTAAACTTTCATTAAATATCAATAAAAATTTAAAAAAAAATGTTAAGAGAAAGATCCTTCAGCAATCATCGAATGTAAAAATTATAAAATGGCACAACCATTCTGGAAAGCAGTTTGGCGCCTCCTCAAAGAGCTGAACTTAGAAACTCCATATGACCCAGCAATTCCACTACTTGGAATGTACCCTTAGAAAATAAGAACTGAGGCACAAATTGAAATTTGCCCACCAGTGTTCATAGTAGCATTATTCACCATCGCAAGAACATGGAAATAGCCCAGATGTCGAACCCCAAAAGAATGGATTGAGAAATTATGCTACATTCACACAATGGAATACTACACAGCATGCAGGAGCAATGATTTTTGTAAATTATTACCTGACTTGGGAGGGACTGAAGACCATTATGCTAAGTGAACTTATTTATTTATCCCACAAGAATAAATATTGTATAAAACCATTATTGTGGATTTAGAATAAGGATCCAAGAGTGGTGGGGGAGGGTAGAAGCAGGGGGATGAGGATCCAAGGGGGAAAGGGAGATTAATCATAGGATTGTACAATTTGATGGGTGTGGGGGTGAGGAAAATTAGAAGATTCTGTTCTCAAAAACAATGTATTCAAATTTTGTAAATAAACTAGTATAAAACAAATCTATGTCTTGCCCTTTTTTTGGCTTAACAAGTTGATTTGGGATGCAAACCAAAAGATCAGTTGTTCTAATCTATCAGTCTTTCTGCAGAAGGAAAATAGGTACTCTCCCCCTGAATATTTACAATCTTGGAAATTGGATAGAGTGTTGTTATGAGTGGAAATCAATTAGAAAGCAGTAAGTGGTTGTTGCATTCTATTTTAACTGTGCCCTACTTTTCAGACATGTTGCTTTGGAAAACTCTGCTGTCAAGGACCTCAGCAAAGTACTGAAGAGCAAGGCTGTTAAAGACTACAATGCACTTGACCCAACTACGGTATTTTCTACTGCTTCCTATGCATCTGAAAATTGGACAATAAATATGACAGGCAAAAAAATCAAAGGTTTTAAATTGTGGTGTGGAAGAAGAGTACTGAATAACTGATGGACTTGAGAACAAACACGTCTGTCTTGGTGCAACTAAGTTGTTCCTTAGAGGCAAAGAGAGTGAAACTTCATCTCACATACTCTGAGCATGTTGTCAGGAGGGACGAGTCCTTGAAAAAATACATCATGCTGGGAAAGGCAGACTGTCGAAGGAAGAGAAGACCCTCAACAAGAGTATTGACACAGTGACTAACAATGAGTTGGAGCACATCAAAGATTGTAAAGATAGTGCAAGACAGGGCAAGGTTCAGATCTGTTGTCCACAGAATCACCATGAATTGCACTTGACTTGGTGGCACTTAACAACAGTAACAACACTCTTCTGGATATCTCCATATATATTGCCACCTTTGGATTGCTAAATACCTTATTTAGTTGCTGCTTCTTCATTTCTTTATTCACTCTACTCTTCACTTCATTGCTTATTCTCTTCTCTGATATATAATAAACCATCTTATATTTGACACACTGCTGAGTCTTGTGACCTAAAGCCTAGTGTTGCCCTGATATTACATGATGTAGTAATCTGTATAATTTACTTAATCTCCCTGCGTTACAATTTGCTCATTTGTAAAAGGAGCTGTTTCTGGAAAATATCCAAGAACCTTTTCACCTCTATATTTCTGTTTCAATGAAGTTGCCTCTGACCACATGCACAAAGAATTTAAAAAGTTGTAGGCAGCATTAAATCCTGAAACTAGAAGAAACAATGTCATGCTTTCCTTAGAAGCAAATAAACGCTGATGCTCAAACAACATGTGGATTTCTCATGACCAACAAGCCTTTCCTGGTCACTTATTATGTGTCTGAGTTTCCTCCTCCACAGTCACTTATCCTTAAGGAATGTGTTTATAACCAAGGCACTAATTTTAAATACCGGGAAGCAAAACAAGGTTAAATAACATATGTGAAACCATATATATTCAGACAGAAATGGCTTCTGGATATCTATACAATCTCTATTCTGTCAGTCTGAATACTGAGATTTCACATGGCTCTGACTAACCTATCATGTGCAAGCAGCAAATGCTCATTCTGGATCAAACTATGGTCTTCTGGTATCATGTTTATACATTTGTTCCACTAATATTTGCAATCCATGTTACACGTCCTTATTAGGATATTTGGGCTTTAATTGTATAATTTTCCTTAAAATACGTTTACTTGGGTGTAGGAAAATACTCCTCTCCAACCTATCAGTCCAGTTACACTTTTACAGAACACTTTAAAATTCTAAAAGGAATTCACACTTCCATGGTTCCTTTATTAACAGGAATACTACAGAGTGAGTTTATTTTGATCCCTTGATTAAAGAAAATAGCTAAAATTGTTCTGCAGTCTTTGTGAATAAACTTTTGTGAAATATAAACTAAGAAAAATCTCAAGCCTATTGTCAACAAACCGATTTCTACTTATGACAACCTTGCAAAGACATACTGGGATTACCATGTCATTCTCCTGCTCCTGGGCTAAAACTGCTGATCTTTGGGCTAGCATGCTAGTGCTTTAAAAGCACTGCACTACTAAAATTGTTAATATATTTTGTTTTCCTAATTTTTCCCAGTGAAAAGGCTTTTTTAAAAAAATACATCTATATGAGACTTCTATATGAATTAGTTTATGGTCTATACCGTTATTGCCCCTGATATTTCCCAAGTAGTCTATTTTAAGTGAATATACGGAAACAGGAAAGCCTTGAGGAAAGTTTGATAGAGATATTTCTTCTGCAGCCTAGCATTGCAGTACAGCTATCTGGTATTTTTTCCAAAGTACCATCTCAGGGGAAATATCATAAAGAACATCTGGTGGGAAGCATATACCACATCCATGATAATACTTGTACCTGCATTCTAAAATGCAAGCAAAGCAGGGCTCCTTTTAATTGTTAGTATTGACTCTGGGTCCTCCAGCTTTCTGGAAGAAGTTGCTTGCTACAGTCCTTTTGCCCTATTTCAGCTTTCCAAGTTCAATCTGCAATCTCAATCACTTAATAATGACTGTAGCAGCACTGTCTTTGGATACACAAAGGAATTTTGATTACATTATGTACTGCCAAACAGCTAAAATAAAACGATTTCTCAAGCCGACTTGGCTTTCCTTAGGTTTTATGACTCTTGGGGTGTCAGTAGGAAACAAAACAGCCCAAGCTATCTTTTGACGCTTAAAGGTAGAAGCTCTCCAAGATAGAGCCCAGCTGCCAGCATACACTGGCCCTGGTGCCTTTGGATTCTTGCTTTTATGGGGCATGTTAGATGTTGATCGATCGATTCTGTCTTACCACTTTTTTTATTTATTACCTCTCAGTTGTTCTTGGTCAGCCACATCACACTGAATGAATAGAGTTTTCTGAGGTTCAAACTGCTCATCCAAAGCAGCTTTACAGTTTACACCTGCTTCAAGATTCCAATCCACCAGTGCTACCTGTACACAGAAGAAAGGAAATCAATTGAGGTCCTGCGTAGCTCAATGCACTGAAGGATAGGCAATCAATAAAGAAATCATGCAACTCCTGGGCCTGAAGTTTGGCAATTAAAGTTTAGGTTCTCTCCCAGACACTTTTAATGTCTACTCGAGCTCCTAAGCTTTTGCACCTTTAGGAAGTGGCAAAGTATAACACTTCAGGAGAAGCAGCCCTCCAATCTCCCCCAGCGTCGCCCTTCAGGTGGTGGAACCAGTCCCAGAGTAGACAGACTTTCTGAGGTCTGTCGCTGCGCTTACCTTGGCACCTTTGTGCAGCAGCTCCTCAGCAAAGGCTCGGCCTATGCCTTGGGCGGCGCCGGTAACCAGCGCCACTTTGCCGTTCACATGCATGGCGCTGCAGCTGCTTGGGAGGTGGGCGAGCTCCGTGTCTCAACGCTGCTGCAGCTTTTATGGTCGCTGCGAGCGTGTGCAGCCCGCCCCAGCGCTCTCCTGCGAGTGGGCGGGGATGAGACTGTGAAGCCAGAGTCCCGGGAACCCACAGCTGTGTCACCTGCCTCTGAGCGCTCAGGGGCGCCACTTGCCTTCCTGCCTCGCAGCTGAACTAGGTCAGACCCTCCCCTTGGCATTTGTTTGCATGACTGGCAGTGAAATGATAGGGGAAAATCAGAAGGGAAATTATTTCAAAATCTTGGGTGTCTTGAAGACCACCTGGCATACAAGTTGAGCCAAGCAGAGAGAGATTGGTGATACTTGGATTCCTCCTCTTGCTTCTTAATCATTCCTCCCAAGGGATAAAACAAATGAAAAAGCAACGTTTTGCTTCTCTTTTGTCTCAGCCTAAGTCTTTTTGCTTCTCTTTTGTCTCAGCCTAAGTTGTGTGTGTGTGTGTGTGTGTGTGTGTGTGTGTGTGTCTGTTATTTCCAAAAAAGATTTCATCTTCCTTAGCTGTTCATCTGGTGATAGGCTATTTTCCCCCTTGTGTTTCTGGTGTATAGTGAATACTGCAAATGAGCATTGGTGCACAGGGATCTGTGCTCCTGTTTTCAATTCTATGTGCATATGCCTAGCAATAGGATTACTAATAACTATGAACTGTCAAAAGAACGAAGAAATCTTGTAAGAAGTGCAGCCAGAGGGCTCCTTAGAAACCAGGGTGGTGAGACGTCATCTTACATACTTTAGACATGCTATCAGAGAGGGCAGTCCCTGGGGGGAAATAACACAGTTGTAAAAGAAGAGAGTCAGGGAAAAGAGAGGTTGATCCTCAAGGAGATGGAATGACATAGTGACTGCAATAACAAAGTTTAAGGACAGCAGAGAGTGTTCAGATGACACAAGATAAGACAGTTTCCATCTGTTGTACATAGGATCTCTCTGAGCTAAGCTTTCTGGAGGGCACATACAACACTGCTCAACTTTTGGCTTTTAATTCTGTAAAATTATTGTCTCTCCATTTATTTTCACAGAGAAAGAAACATAGACAGTTACGGAGAAGGGAATAAGGTTTTTAGGAAAAATTTTGGGTAATGATGATGATGGAATAAATTATCCATTGAATGCTTACAAAAGGGGGCACTAGAAAGGTAGTTTATTGAACAGAAAAAGAGATGTTTTCTAGTGTGTGTAAAATGTGGTCCCTAATAAATCCTTGGAGAGGGACATCATGCTTGGGAGGATGGAGGGACAGTGCAAGACAGGAAGACACTCGATGTGATGGATTGATTCAGGGACTGGGGTAACGGGGGTAGATGTGTCAGAGACAATTACGATTGGCATAGGATAGAGTAGGGTTTAGGACTGTTGTACATAAGGTCACTAAGAGTCTCAGGCAACTCGACAGCACATGACAAAAACAATTAATGCAAATATTTAACAGACTCAAGTGATAGCTGGATAACTAGTGTTACTTATTGTCAGATAAAAGGTCTGACTTTTTTTTTATGGAAAACCCCATGGAGTACATGGATTCGCCTTCACCAGAGTAAGCCAAATTGACTACTGCTTGGTTTGCTGTGTAAAACCTAAATTGACGGTAAAACCTTGAAACAGGTATATCTTCAAAGTGAATTTTAAATTGGATCTTTCAATATTAGTGAGAGATTAAGATGGAGAGATAGCTATAGTCTATCATGATAATTAAAATCATAACCTAATGAGTAAACACATTGAGAGGGTCATTTTAATAGATGATTGGAGACAATAAGGACGGCAACAAATACAGTGTGCACAAAAAGGAGAAGGTAGAACTGACAAAGTAGAAAGGAAGATTCACTGAAGTAGCATGAGATTGTGTTGGGAGAGCAGACCTATAATGCCTCTTGAGGAAAATAATGGTAGCTGAAAGGGAAAAAAAGGAGTGGTAGAAACTATCATTAAATACTCTGATGAACACAAGATTTCTGTTAATTTGTCAGTAGAATTGTGTCTATGTTATTGTGCACTGTGTGGAGTTTGAACCGACTTGTAGCTTATCCTCCAGCATGTTTTCAGAGGCAGAGTACTCATATAGGAGTAGACTGCCTGTCTTTCTCTAGTAGAGCCCAACCATTTGCCTTCGGGTTGGCAGTGCAGCCCCTTACCACTAGACCGAGTGTAAGTAAATGTAGAAGGCACAGAAACCAAATAGCTAAAATTTAAAAGAGAAGCTTGGCTAGTGAGAAGATGGATATTAGATTCTAATAAATCCTCCCAATCATGGAAACAGATTGCAGGGTGGTTGGAAAGATTAGAAAGCAAGTATGTTTTTTTCTTTCAAGAAAGGAGGGGGAATATTGATGCAGATTAAAAGGACAGGAGTCAAAGAGAGTGAGAAAAACAGGAAATTGTATGGGGAGGTGGCTTGTAAAACCATCAACATCAGACAAAACAGTTTGTATTTTGTCTCTGCTATTGACCAGCTGCGGTGGGCCCTTGGGCAAGTTGTTTCCTCTCTTTGTGCCTCTCATTCCTTATTTATAAAATAACCATTTCTATAAGAATTTCTGAAACCTGTGTTTCAGTTTGCCATTGTTCATTATTGCTATTGTAATTTATATGTTACTATGATTACTAAAACCTATGCCACTGCTTTTTTTATCAATGATTTTTATGCAACATCTATATTTTTACAGCATATACTTTCTGTTTAATTTTCCCCCATTTATTAATTGTTGAAAATTTTCCACCCTGTTCACCCTCCCTAGTTCATTTCTCTCTTTGAAAAGAAAAAAAAAATTCTTTCATTGTTATACAATCCCCCATGTCCACAGTCCATTTTACTATGCATTTTTAATGTAATCTTGTAATGAAAATAATACCTAATCCTATATTCCTTTTAAACAGTTCCCTTCCTCAGCTGTTTCAATGCAGTATACATTATTTAGCCCATCTTTTCTTAGGTTTTCCCCAATTCCCACGTCAGTTCCATTTTACAACAGTGGCACGATGTAGTATTTGTCCTTTTGTGACTGAGATATTTCACTCAGTCTAATGTCCTCCAAGGTCATCCATTTTGTATAATATTTCATGAGTTTCTTGTTTTTCAATGCAGCATAGTATTCCATGTGTGAATATGCCAGAGCTTATCTATCCATTTGTTTCTTGATTTGTTTCCAACTCTTTGCTATTGTGAACAAAGCCGCAATAAACATGGATGTGCATATATCTGCTTGGGTGGCAGTTCTGGTTTCTTTAGGGTATATTCCCTGCAGTGGAATTACTGGGTCAGATGGTATTTTTATTTCCAACTTTTTGAGAAAGCACCATACTGCCTTCCATAGTGGTTGCACCATTTTACACTCCCACCAACAGTGAATAGCAGTTCGAGTTCCTCCACAACTTCGCCAGCATTTGCTGTTTGCTCCCACTGATATTTCAAATATTGGCCAGAGTCATCCATGGAGGAGAGTTTCAACTGAGAGTCCAGACTAAAATAGATTATGAAGAAAGATCTGGTGATCAGCTTTTGAAAATTGACCAATGAAAGATCTATGAATTACAGAATATCATTTGAGACTTTGAATAGTTTGCTTGAAACACATATCACATGGAGCTACTTGCTGGATTGTTTGGTAAAAAGAGGACCAGAGAAGGTGAGAAAAGCTGTTAATCTTATCGGTTGGCTCAGCAACAATGGACTCAAGGGGCCGGGAAGAGACCTGGGAAGACCAACAGTCAGCCACCCACCGTGGAAATCCAGAGGAACAAAGACCGTGAGACCCCAGAGGAGAGAAGACTACCCGCCACTGTGCGACCCCCTTGCAGCGCACATCTGTGTGACACCCAACACACAGGGTGCTGCTGCATAAACCCCCAGCAGTGGCTAAGCCCCGTCTCCACCTCTTGGTGGTAGTGTCCAAGCCCTGTGCTCCTTACCCCCCTAGTCCCTTGCTTTCCTCCCATTTCCCCTCTCAGCTTGCAGCTTCACAACCATGCACCTCAGCCCCCCCACAGCCGGGTGACCTCAGGGCACCACCATGGATCCAGCCATCACCCCGAGCTATCAGCCAAGCTGTTGTGGAACTAAGCTGGCAGGAGAAAGGCCGGTAGGATCTTGGCAGTGTTTACTGGGGCATTGCTGATTGCCTGGGAGGGCACCTAAGGGCGTGCCCACTGGTGGAGAATTTGGCCGAGCTCTCTTGGGCTACACCAACTGCCCAAAACGAGCCAGCCAGCTGGCTTCTGTGAACTCTGCAGACCAGCCAGAGGCTAGTGGGTTGGTGGGAATTTGACCTTGACTTTTGGATCCTCTCAGATCCAGGACCCTGCTGGAACAGGGGCTGTTGTGTGAAGGCACCTATGTAAGTGCCACCAGGCAGGGAACACTGAGAAAACCACTGGGTAGAAATAGACAGCAGGAATTTGAGTAAGGACCCCAGTCGTGAGCACACTGAGACAGCAGAGGTTTGAGCAAGGTCCTCCAAGTTTGACCTGCCCTTGTGACCACCCAACACTTTGCCTCCTTCACCCCATTTGGATCCACACCAGTGCCTACATGTCTGGGCAATCAACTTGCCTTTAAATGGGAGCACCTTGACCTGTTTAGGAACAAGAGATTGCCCTAGCAGGTGCTGAACTGACATTTTTCTGAAGTCAGAAAGTCAGAGAAACGCACAAGTTCGGTAGCTGCCCATCTGATCTCAAGAGCATTGTCTTCAGA